TCTGGATCCAGGGTGAGTGCCAGCCCCCTGCCACAGCTGCCCATGTCCCCGGCCCCTGCCCGCACAGCCCACTCAGCTTGGCCTCTTCACCTTCTCCCCAGACATGATGGAGCGCGCCCTCATCAACATGTTTGTTGGCCACGATGTGGTGGAGCCCGGCAACTATGTGCAGATGTTCCCATACCCGTGTTATACCCGGGACGAGTGAGTAACGCCCATGTGGGCAGGGTGGGCAGGGGCAGAACCTTCCCTCTTCCCCTTTGCAGGCCAGGACACTTCAGCTGGGAAAAGGAGACAAGTTTGGGGGCCTGAGAGAGGGTGGTGACATTGGGAGTGATGAGCAACCAGTTAAGCCCTGTCCCTTGAACCTCCAGGCTAGACAAGCAGGGGAAGGATTTTGTGCCCAGTTCGTAGCTGAAGTGAGGAACTCATGGCTGTGGGGTGTCTTGGAGGCTGAAAGACTGGGGGAGAGCAAGAGGAGTGTGGTAAATGGATGGCACATGGGTCTGTCGGTGGTTATTGAACACAGTGGTCTGGAGGAAGCACCTGGAGAAGTCCCAGAGCCACCAGCCCTTCAGGGCAGGAGGGTGGATAGGGCCCCATCCACACCAGGGTAGGCAGGGCACCAGGCCAAGCCTGTGGCTGGGGCCCCCCCTCCTCCCCCGCCCCGGCCCGGCCCAAGCCTGTGGCTGCTGCCCGCCTGCCTGCCAGGACCTGACAGCCAGGACACTAGGTTGTCCTATGGGCTCATTGGAGAAGTTCTTTCAGGGCACTTAAGGAGCTGCTGGACCAGAGGGCTGGTTGTCCCCAGGTGGTGGGAGAGCCCCTCCGCTGCACTGTGCCCCAGGGTCTCCCTGGGTCTCTGTGGTGGCGTCACCATCCAGCTCTCCCCTCTCTTCCTCTACCCCACCAGCTTCCTCTTCGTCATCGAGCACATGATGCCCCTGTGCATGGTGATTTCCTGGGTCTACTCAGTGGCCATGATGATCCAGCACATTGTGACAGAGAAGGAGCATCGCCTGAAAGAGGTGGGGACGGTGGGAGAGATCCCTGGGGAGGAGCTGGTATCTCTGAGCTCTAAGTTCTGTGCTGCGTCCCTGTGCACCTTCCCCATGTCTCCGGGGTGTGTGAGCTGGGGCGGGCGCAGATGCCACATCCCTGGGCTGAGCTGGTCCTTCCAAGTGTTCCCGGAACGAGCCCTGCCCAACGCCGGAGGGAGCTGAGCCCATTGGCACCCTGGCACAGGGTGCTGTGGCCTGCCTGCTCCCAGCAGCCCCCGGGGACCCCTCAGTGCTGCCTGTTGGTCTCCCAGCCCCAGCGAGTGAGGCAGCAGGGATGTGCAGGGTAGGGGACAGCCCGGCTGAGCAGTTTTGGCCTCACAGGTGATGAAGATGATGGGCTTGAACAACGCGGTGCATTGGGTGGCGTGGTTCATCACCGGCTTTGTCCAGCTCTCCATCTCGGTCACAGCGCTCACTGCCATCCTGAAGTACGGCAAGGTCCTGATGCACAGCGATGTCCTCATCATCTGGCTCTTTCTCGCCATCTACGCAGTGGCCACCATCATGTTCTGGTGAGCTGCCTGGTCCACCTTGTGGAGTGACGGGGCACGGGCAGCACCGGGGTCCTTGTGCCATGGAGCGAGGGTGCTGGGAGCTGTGTGGGCAAGGGCCGGTGGAGGGGCACAGGTCTCCCCAGCCAGCTGATTTGAGGGGCCAATTTATCACCTCAACGCCACCAAAATCAGACAGTGTGGGGAAAGCCCTGGTGGGGTAGGCTCCAAGGTGACACTGTCCTCCCTGCAGCTTCCTGGTGTCAGTGCTCTACTCCAAGGCCAAGCTGGCCTCTGCCTGTGGCGGCATCATCTATTTCCTCAGCTACGTGCCCTACATGTACGTGGCCATCCGGGAGGAGGTGGCGCATGACAAGATCACGGCCTTTGAAAAATGCATTGCGGTGAGTTGGCTGCAGCTGCTGGGGAGGTGCTTGGCCCCAGGTTTGCCCTGGGCACCCCATGTTCAGTACACAGGCCACCAAGCTGTCACTAAGCCCTGGGCAAACCGCTGCCTGTATGAACCAACTTCCCATGGGGCTTTGGAGGCATCTCCAGAAGGTTTGGTGCCTCCCAGGGCAGGGAGCATCTCCATGAGGCTGGGTGGGGCAGCACTGGGTAGGAATTCACCCCAACCTGTTCCTCC